AGAAAAAAACGAGGGACGATCAAAATTAGAGTCCGATCAAAATTAATATCACCGATTCCAGATTCCTCCTCCCTGCTTACATTTGAAATCATTTCATGTGCATCATGTGTTCTCTACTCAGGTACTCAATGACGAGCATACAGGTGTGAGCAACAATTTGAGATCGACGTAGAGGAGACGTAGCATTCAATGGGACCCTCAGTTCACATAATAGTGTGCAGGTAAAAGACCTTAACCTTAAACCGGGCCATGTCATCCTGATGATGATGACACAGACCTTCTCTTCATCTACAAGTGGCTTTGCAAAGATGAACACAGTTTAAACCTCAGCAAATGTTCCATTACTTCTACCTCTCCTTCAATGCAAACCGTGAAAGGTCTGTTGTGGTAACTTAATGGAATCTTTACAAGCGTAACTCTAAGAAGCATTTTTTGTTTTTTATTTTAAGGCTTTAGCGCATGTCAAGTAGCCACTTTACACATCACGAACATTGATAATGTGCAGTAGAGGCCAATCAATCTATCAAGGCTGCACTCAGACCCTGAATAAACCTCGTCTTTGTGTTGTTACTGTCTTCGTATGTCTGAAAAGATGTTGTTTCAGCTTTCAGCTCACCTTGTTAGCTCTGCAGGAAGTTGCATTTTCTTATTCCAGTTATGAGCTAAGGTCTTCGTGTTTTGTTTCCACGGGCATTAAAACAGTAATTTAAAGTATTTGTCTCTATCTAATAGCTTTATATATGTACCTATATATTAACCTGCATCTTTGAATGGTTAAGTTAATGATAAAGTTCAGTCAACTGTGTAGATTGGGGCACAGTTGCCCCAAGTTCTCTCAGCACAAATCTGGCTGCAACATTTAGGAATCTGTATATTTACTTTTAGGTGTGCGGTCCTAACCGTTCCCTTGTTCGTGTTATCTGCCGGGCTTTGGATCACTAACTCGTCATATGCGATGCATATCTTGCCCACGTGTGTGTGTGTGTGTGTGTGTGTGTGTGTGAGAGTGTGTGTGTGTGTGCGCAGAACGCCATTAAAATTGGAAAGTGCACACAGACGTACACGCCAAGGCCGGCTGCTTGTGCTACTTTGAATCTGCTTTGTCTTCTAAGAGATGGATTGGAGGCTGTCAGTCATGTGTACAGGGTGGAATTCCCTGCCAATGCCTCCGCTGGCTCTGCCTCGGGGAGATGGGACAAAAACACACAGAACACGGCCACTCCGATACACACTGCTCTCCATAGCACTCTCTTTGCCAGCCTCCCCTTGTTGTGAAATGGCTTTGCTCCAGCCGTGGCCACATTTCCTAGCCAGTCTACTTTCTCTCTCTCACACACACACACACACACACACATACACACACACAGCACTCGGCAGACGCTAAGCCAGGCTCCCTGCCTGCAATGTAACCCTCCTTGATCCTCCATCAGACACACACACACACACACACACACACCCTGCTGAGTGGCCGAACGCAAGCCATCCCCCTCTTGTCTACAGACAAGGAGCAGCAGTCTGTCAAAAAACATCAAACCAAGACTGGCTTAAAGGTCCAATCCCCTCAAAAAATCCTGTTCTTTCCAGCCCGGTTGACAGGGGTTCAGTGCGAAGCTCCGAGTGGCCGCCGGCTGATTTAAAACAGCTTCCCCTGCTGGATCCGTCTCCACTCGATTGGAGGGTATCAACAACAAGAAGTGGCGTTCCCATAAAGGCCGCTTCGTGGTTCTTAATAAAAGCAGCAGTAGGTGAAGGGGATTATGGGTATTCGTAGGTGACAGGTGCGGCTGCGAAGTTGCTCAGCATGAGCAGCACAATGAACAACTTCCAACACTCATCTGGCTGCTGGAGGTTGGTTTTTGTTTCAGGGTCACTGTTCATGTTACTGTGCATTAGATGTGACTGTTTCCACAGACTTCAGAGTTTCTGACATTGTTTTCCTGCATGGTTCCTTTGCATGTACTGAGGTCAGTTGTAGTATGTAGATGTTATTTAACAAATGTTTTATTTGCCTTATTTAATTGTGTGTGCTTTTATGACTGATGATGAGTACGGTGTGTGCAGCATTGTTCCATGTAAAGTCCTGAAAGGCCTTTATGAAGAACTTGAAGTTGGACTTGAACAGAGCACCGTAACAAAGTTTCGACCTCCACAGCTTTCAGTTTTGCAAAGTCTCCTCCGAGGTTCAGTTAGGTTCGACAGCTCCCCGTGTGCGTTTGCTCCTCAGTAATGAAATTGTTCCGTCAGGCTTCACGGGCCCGCTGGTGAGGATATGACTTTTGTCGTCTCACAGCAGTGGGACGTGTGTGTTTCCGCAGAGTATGTTAGAATGCACACAAACATGTTGTTTATCAGGCCATCCGAGTCACCTTGGACCAAGACTCAAGAATCTGCCGCCATGTTAGCGGCTCTGTGGGGCTGTGCTGCACAACAGTGCTCTGAGATTAATGCGAACATGCTCACAATCACGATGCTAAATTGCTTTGTATTTAGCCGGTATAACGGTAACCATGTTCACCATCTTAGTTTAGCCTGTTAGCATGCAAATATTTGCCAATTGGTACTAAACTCAATAAGAACAGCAGAAGCTGATGGAAATGTCCTTGATGTTGCTTCATGACCAAACACATGTGTGTTTGAGACTTTTCACTGGATAGGTGAAGACGTTGACCTGCTGGTGGCGCTAGATGAGTCATTAGTGTTCATCCTCTGGACACCATGAATGTCTCTCCCAAATTCCTTGTCAAACCATCCAACAGTATAAATGTTTGCGCTGCAGTAAAAGTCTCTTTTGTGAAGTTGTTGAGATATTTCAGTGTGGACCAGAGTGGTGGACGGACTGAAAGACATTGCCACCCCTTAGACACTGAATCTAAATTTAATATCTCTTCCTCTTTTCACCTTCCTTCTGTTTCAGTGAATTTACTAGATTATTATTAAAAAAACATGTATACTATCCCATACAGCAGAACACAGCTTTCCACTTAACTGCTCTGGTACAATGCTCGTACACACACACACACACACACACACACACTCTCTCAGTAAATGTCAGACACCCCAGGATTCATCTGAAATGTCTGGTAGAAGCCAGGGCTTTGTGCTGCCCAGAACAAGTCAATGTCCATGAAACTCTGAATATTGCCTGTTTCTCTTCCTGGAGACAGACAATGTTTCTGTCCGTCTCCCACTCTCCTATGGTATCCGCGGTGTGCAATTAAAGCAATTAAGCTGCCTCTTTGCAACAGCAACCTAGACAAGCTGGGAGAAAGGAATACGTAGGGTGAGAGCAAGCGAGATAAAGAGAAATGAAAAGCTTTGTCGGGTAAAAGTCGATGGGTCTATTCTGCGTTTTTTTAGTTTTTTTTTTAACTGAACTGAGGTTAGCCATAGATTAAGAAAAATCAAGAGAGAAGCAAAGCTGTTGTGCTCCTCTCGGCCCGCAATACGCAGTCCATCCACATTAGTTCTGATCACTGGCTGCCTCGAGGCTTTCTCTCTCTCTCTCTCTCTCTCTCTCTCTCTCTCTCTCTCTCTCTCTCTCTCTCTCTCTCTTGCTTCTTCCACCCCTCTTTCTCTCCTTCCCTCGCTTTGTTTACCACGTAGAGGTTGATTTATGTCGGGTGGCGTGGGCGAGATCCAGCAGCTGAAGGGGAGAAAGAGAAGGAGGGGGAAGCGAAACGAGTAAGGCCAAGTCGAAGTGGCGTGTCAGGGGAGAGGAGAGAGAGAGAGATGAGCAGAGAGGAGAAACAGGAGACGAAGGGTTGGATTAGAATAGTAAGTAAGGAGGGAGAGATTACAGGATGGAGGAGAGGGAGGTTCTGCGAGGAGTGGGGGAGAGGTGCTGGCCTCAGGTGTCTCACTCTGATTTGTATCTTTCATGATGCTTGTTCATGTCAGAACACAAGGTCTCACGCCGTCGTCCCTCTGGCTCGGCCGCTCCTGTTCAGTGTTTCTTTCGCATCGCGTTCACTTGTATGTTTGAGTCTTGTCCCCGACAGTCCTGGTTGGTTAGGCTGGAGCGGATTGTATTTCCTGAAACTTTAACGATTCCTTTGGGAAAGCAGGGAAGTTGCAGCTAGATATCACCAAAGCAAACAGGGGTTACGTTTACACACACAGCTGGCACGTTAATCGGTTGTAATGAGCAGCAAGGTCTTGACTGAACATGTCCAGAGCTTATGGGCTGCTTTGTTCACAGAATGTTTAAAAGGGAAGCAAAGCACAAAATATTTATGAGATGGATAGAAGTTGAGCTAAGGAATTACAAAGTTTCATTAAAAAAAGATCTACATATGCAAATACGCAAGGCCGATTCCGGCTTCAAATTCATACAATGCCCATTATGTCACACCTTAGAGAAGTACAAATTGCTGATGATTAAGTGCCGTTGCTGTGTTGCATGCTAACGAGCTCACAATGCTGTTGTGTGGCATGTTCACTATGTTCACCATCTGAATTTAGCGTGTTAGAAATTGCAGTTACTTTGCTTGGACTTGGTCATAACACAAGAAGGATGTTGACGATGGGGGTAGATAAAAAGTTAAGGGGTGGGTGAGTAAAGTTATTACATTTCATCCCGAGTGGAACATGAATGTGTGCGCAAATTTCACGGCAATCCATCCAACAGTTGTTGAGACATTTCACAAAAAAACGCAAATATTAACCTCGTTGTGGCGCGGGAGGAAAAGTCAGGGGATCACCGAAGTAATTAGGATTCATTCTCTGGACACCATACATTTCTGTATAAAAGGTCGTAGCAATCCATTTAGTTTTTCTCAAAAAAACTAAATTGATTGCTACGACCTTATCAAACTTATGGTGGCACAAAAACAAACGGAAGGGTATCACCAAACTCTGCAGGATGTATCCTCTGGGGACCATGATTTAACAAATGAATAAAAGAAAAGCACTGGGGCAAAATGCTCTTTTGAGATGAGGCTTTTATCCCATTAAAAGAATGCCTTTTTTCTCTCTCTCTCTCTCTCTCTCCCTTCCTGCAGCCGGTCAGTTGAGCCAGTCGGCTCACTTCTCCCTCCAGCTGCCCTACACTGTGCTGGGCCTCGGACGGAGCGCCAACTTCCTGGATCACCTATTCGTCGGCATCCCCCGGCAGCCTGGAGAGACGGTGAGGAAATATACGAGGGTTGTGTTACCTGGACACTTCTCAGCGCTCCTGTAGGAACAACCACCGGTTGTACACTCTCACAGAATATTTGAGGAAAATGCATTTATAGAAGTGGGGTTGAGACCTGCAGCAGATAGAGAAAGGGAATTAAAAAGAATTGCATCAAAATATTTGTTTCTTAAAAAGTCTTTTAAAAAGTCTTAAATCTTACAACAAGTATAATGCCACTTATGTGCCCAATGAAGTCACTTCTGACCCCCGTAACATATCCTGATTATAACAGTGGGCGTGGCTGAGACGTTTAATGTCTCTGCAATAAGTCTACAAAAAAAAACACAAAGAGAGGCCAGTGAAAATATCCTCAGGATCATGAAAACTTTCCAAGAAAACAAAAATCAAATGAAGGACTAATTAATTGTAAGCTGTTAAGATTGTAAGATGTTAAAAAAGTCATAGGCTGAGAGCAAAATAGTTGTTTTTCTCCTTCAGCTCAGACTCTATTTCACAATGAGCTGGATGTCACACATTTCCTCTGAGGTTTGTGAGACTTGTTTGAAGGGTATTTTGCAAAGATTCGAAAGAGGGATTTCCCTCCATGTATTTTCTTTTCTTATCTATAGCTATGCTGAACACGAACAGCGTTCTCTCCCTAATCCTGCAAGAGCATTTACTGAACGGTTGAGGTTGTTTTCATTTTCTTCTTCAAGCAGCAGCTGATGCAGCAAAATATGTGATAACCGGCATTTATATCAATTCAAATGATTGTGTCTCCAAAATGTTTACGAATGAGGTAAGCACAAGAGTATGGGGGAAAACCTGTAGCCCACAAAATGTTTTTCTTTTCTTATTACTTTATGTCATTTGTGAAATGATTGATCGAAATGTAATAGCTTAACGCACACAAAAACAGTTCACATTGTAATCAGTTCTTCATTCCCTCCATTCTTTGGTTTGCTTGTGTATATATGGATCCTATCCACAAGCAAGTCGTTTTTTATTCTAGTTGCATATTTATTTTAGTTTGCATTTTGCAGCCCGCAAAAGACTCCATTTTGGGCCGGATAAACATGATGGCATACTGAGGCACTAGAGGCGAGATTGAGCTTTTTTTTGTCTTGTCCCATCAAGTGATTGAAGTTACTATGAGGAACCTTGAACTGGTCATGAAACGGTCTCAATTTGATAGTGATGCCACTATATGACGAGACCTTCAGCAAGAAGGATGTCTATTTCTATAGTTATTCTTAACGCTCGTCATCGGTGCCGCCGGGTCCGATTCCGGCAACATCGGACAAAATCCGGCCTTGAGCAGAGCATCGCCTTGCTGCTCCTCCGGTCCCCGCTGGGAGCCAACACACCGACGCCATGCTGCTGGAGGCCCAGGCCGTATACCTGGGCCCGTTGGAGGGAAGGGAGGCACGGGGGAACCGGAACCAGGACTTAGCGGAACAGATTGTCACACCTCTGCAGCAGTAAAATGAGAGGATTTCCAATGGGACTCAGGTGCTCAAAAAACACTACCGCTTTTTTCCACAGGGACCGCCAAAATACCAACAAAGTAAAACTCTTTTTTTAGCTTTAAAAAGAAGAAGAGAGGTTAAATAGACAGTTTCTTTTTGGCAGATAGATTCCGAATCCCATATGGGATGATCGATGGACTCACTCAGGGGACTGATAAAGGTGCAGCGACCTCCCCTTGAACAGAAATATCAATACCCCGCCGTCTTTATCTGTTTTTAACAACTCGAGGATGTACTGTATAAATGACTCCAGATGAAGCCAATGTGCACCTCCTGTCACACTACAAGCCAGCATTATATTAATATAGTAAATAATTGATTGTGTTCATGTTTTTAATCTATTCGTCAGCCACATTTCTACACAATACTACTTCAAATGTCAGCGCTCTTCAGTTCTGTGCTCTCACTGTCTCTGCATTCATCTCCATCTCTGTTTCCTCTCGCTCTCTCACGTTGCACTTGTCCCACTGCATATTGGGCACGACAGCCCCCCCTCTCCCGTGTGGTACCAAGATCTTCATCGAGCAGCTGATTAGAATTGCAGATGGGCCGGTCCGCGGCTCAGAAGCTGTAGTGCACCGAGAACACTCGTCTCAAACAAGCTGCTTTGTTGTCCCCTTTTCTGCTTGCTCCTTCTCCCTACGCAAAGAAATGCGACCTTTTTCTTTCCCCTCCTCCTCGCCCATTCCTTCTACAAACTGAATTAATGAATGCCTAAAGATGCGGCCCGTTATACCAAGTAGGTTTTTTTTAGTTCGTCACCCAGAGGGACTAGGGAGTGGAGCAACTCCATCAAATCTACCTGTAATTAGGAGCAGAAGCTTTGGAAAGCTCTGCCTTGGAACGAGGAGAAATCCTGACCTCCGCCCTGCTCAGTCGGCAGGTTTCGTTCTTTCTGTCTGTCGACTCTCTTTATCTATCTCTCTCTCTCTCTCTCTCTCTCGTTCTTGTTTTCTCAGTCCTTATATGTGTCTCCTTGTCTCCCTCTCTGTGCCCTTTACAATTTTCTCCTCCAACAATGAGAGTCGCTGCCTGCTGCTTCACAGAGTTTCAGTAAAATCTACTTGGATATCTTCCAGCTGCCGTCCAATCGCGCCTCTCTTTTTATTCCCCCCTCCCTCAACCATCTCTCTCTGTGAGTCTCTCTGCTCCTGTTAACTTATCTTCCACCCAGGGGATTCCCTTTGCTGCTCAAAGTGGTTTACTTCACTAATCAGTCCCCTACTTGTCTGTCTCTCTCTCTCTCTCTCTCTCTCTCTCTCTCTCTCTCTCTCTCTCT